TAAACTAGCCTCATATCATGATTTAACAAAGTGTGCTGGTTTTGGCTAGGATGGAGTTAATTTTCTTCCCAGTAGCTGGTACGGGGCTGTGGTTTGGATTTGGGCTGGAAACAGCACTGATAACACAGGGATGTTTTCATTACTGCTGAGCAGTGCTGACATCGGGTCAAGGCCTTTTCTGCCTCTCACCCCACCCCAGTGAGCAGGCTGGGGGGTCACAAGAAGCTGGGAGGGGACACGGCCGGGACAGCTGACCCCAACTGACCCAAGGGATATCCCACACCATATGACGTCGTGTTCAGCATATAAAGCTGGGGGAAGAAGGAAGGAAGGGGGGACGTTGGGAGCGATGGCGTTTGTCTCCCCAAGTCACCATGACGCATGATGGAGCCCTGCTGTCCTGGAGATGGCTGAACACCTGCCTGCCCATGGGAAGTAGGGAATGAATCCCTGGTTTTGCTTTGCTTGCCTGTGCGGCTTTTGCTTTCCCTATTAAACTGTCTTTATCTCAACACATGAGTTTTCTCACTTTTACCCTTCCAATTCTCTCCCCCATCCCACCAGGGGGGAGTGAGCGAGCGGCTGTGCGGGGCGTGGTTGCCGGCTGGGGTTAAACCACAACACAAAGCAAAAGGAGAGAGTTCAAAACTTGTGTATTGTATTCAGATACATCAGGGAAATGTTTACGTGAAGTACTAAAGTACATTTAAAGTGCTGCCATGCAGGTGCATTAGACAATGTTTGTATGTAATACTTTTCATTGGTTTCAAATCTCTCTCTGATACATCTATTGGTTCCTGACTGACTAAAGAAATTAAAAAGTGCATTCTTCAGTGTTTTGGCAGTAAGTGTGAACAATGTTTTTCATGCACTGAACCTGGCAGGGAGTATTGCTTTGTAGCCAGTGATTCATAACTTGCAAAATATAAAACTTGTTTCATTTTATTGGTCAGATGGGATTAGACCGGAAAACATACCTTGAATATGTAGTATCTCTGTGTCTCTTCACAGCTGAGATTATGGTTAAAATTCTAATCTGACATGGGACTGCCCACTTAACTAAAGCCTGTCTAGTAAACTAAACTCCTCACTGGCATTGTTTGCTTTTCATTAAGCTAATGATTCCATTATTTCAGTGGAGTTACTTCTGCTTCGCATCAATGTAAGATACATAGCAATCACAGATCCAGAAACATCTGCATGATTACACACACACGTCACAGCCGTATTTTTTTCATTCTTCTATATTCCTGAGCTGGCCTCTTAGGGTTTCTTATCCTTTCTCAGCACGCTCAAAGTTTTTGCTATCTTTCTGAGGTGTAAATAGTAAGTCAACAGTCATGTAAGGTAAACAGTATTCTAATGGGAAATAACTGTAATAGTAGTTAAGTACTCTTACTTTTTGAGCAAATTTTCCATTACTGGTAGCCAATGAATTCTTCCTAATTTATATAAAACTACAGGAGTTGCAACTAATATTGCAACACCACCAGTGCCGTCTGTATTACATATGTGATAGATTTTAGCCAGTGGCTCTCCATTTCTTAGCATCTCTAATTTCCGATTCCTCCTCTAACTTCTCTTGTCATGTGCTTGTCTGTAGCATGCTTAAAAAGGTCCAGCAATTCTAATGCAATAGTAGAAGTGCATGTAATGATCTAGTAAGACACCTGAAAAATACATTTCAAATATTTTAACAAGACCCCCAAAACTCTTGTTAACAAACTTATCATTTTACACTTGATCAGACAACCACTTACATCAGTGCTTGCTTTTGACTTTTTGAATAGTTCTGTGAAATTCTACTAGTGGAATATTTGCTTAAATTTTTTTTCTTGCCTGAGCAATACATGAGTGCTCAGCATCTGGAAGAACCCAGCTGGAGGTTGAAAGCAGAAGGTGCCCATCCTTTTGCCAGTTTCACATGATTGAAAATCAGTTGAGCCTGACATTAACAAACCTTTAAAAGGGATATTTGGGTTATTAAATATATATTATGATAATTTCTATTCCAACATACAAAGCTTATTGACTGCACTGGTTTTAGACACTGCTGCTCCATAAAAGTAAAGTACCTGCTATTCTCATGCTTCCAACTCCAAAGGAACACAACGTACTAGCAAGTACCAAAGAAAGCATCAGTTGCCAATGTGCATAAAAAATAGTTTGAAAAGACAAAAATAACGTATTTATGAAAGAATTCTGATATTGTAAGTCATTTGCTCAGCTTAAGATGCTACTATAAGATACTACTTTTTAATCAAGAATGGTATTTTTGCATGTATTTTTCATTAGGTGAATAGCAAAGTGATGTAACATATATCAAAATACTTTTGCTAACTGCAGCTGAACCAAGGTATGGAAGTAGGTTGAAAGTACTTTTTCTCTCCTGAGGAGAGTACCTATTCCATTGTCGAAAGTAGTTCAGCAAAAAAATGTTATAACTGACCCTGAGAAAAAAACCTGAATTATTTATGGTGTACAAGATTTCAATAAAAAATTTGTTTGAAAAGAAAAAAACTTCCTTCCAGTAGATTTTCTAATTAAAATCCTTTTTTTTAATGTTTGGTACAAAATTAAATAATTAAGAACTAATCAAGGTTATATCTTCATGTTTTGCAACTCAGAAAGGAGAATGATAACTTCTTTAAATTCTAAATATCCCAGTACTTTCACATGCAAATAATACAGCAGGTATCTATGGTTAATTTATGCCAATGATAGTCTTACCAGTAAAGAAGGAAGATTTAATGTCAAAAACAATTTATTTCTCTCTGGGTAGATAGAAACAGTCAGATTCATATTCTTAAGAGCCTTTGTTCCTGACCATCTGTGTTCATCAGTAGTTAGCAGATGATGCTGACAGTTGAAAATAAAATACAAATTAATGCCTCATGTACTGTCATTGACAATTTTTGTGGACTTCTACATAATAATTTGAGATAAAAAGTGTTCTAACTTCTTATTACAAGGTTCTTTATGTATCTGGGGAAAAAAAGCAGGTTAAGATCTTTCTGTTTCTCATTTTAATCGTATCAAACTACATTTGCACAATACAGGTAAATGGTGACACGTATTAATCCTAATGTTTAATAGCATGGCCAAGTGCATGTAAACCTATTTATTTTACTACTTAAATATTTTTAGTAAATGTATAGATAAGAATGCGATACTGATGCCAAATATTAGGGTAGCATTGTGCTTCTCTCTGTTTGGTTTGTTGGTGTTTTTTCTTTTTAGGAAGATATATAGATAGATAGATTATCAAATAATAGAAAAGGAAGGAAGAGAAGTTAAGTGTGTTTCCTAAAGGAATGTAGGTGGTCAAAATAAAAAATAGATTTAGAACTCTTGACATTCATGGCTCATGAAATTGTATTTTATTGTATATTGTACTTGTATGTCATTTTTTTGTATTGTATTAGTTTGTATTGTAGTTGTATATAATCTTTTTTAAAACAGATACGTAATAGTCTTAATACAACATATAGGGTACTCAAGTGTTAATATGTTTGAAAATTGATTTTTTATTTTATTTTCCTTTTTTTGAAGCAGATAGTCAGGCTTCATTAACCTGTTAATATTGTAGGAGGTGGTGGGCTAATCAAGAATTTCCTAACTATCAGGATTTTGTCTGCCCATTTCTGACATTGGCTGGAGTGCTGGGGGTTTAATTGATTTGGAAAAAAAGTTAAATGAATCTTGCCCTGTGTTACTTCCCAATACTGAGATATCACCTGCCTCCCCAGACAAGGAGACTACAGAGGTACTTTTACAGTCCTTTAAAAGGAAAATTTTTGAAGAAAAAATATACTCAAGAATTACATTGCAAAACTTAAACAATGCAAAGTAAATTCTATTGTATATATCCTTATGTGATCTGCAGCACATTGCCTCAGCATTGTCAGAAGCCCTATATCCATGCTTATCTGTAATTATTCTCTAATCCTGAAGAAATAGCAGAAATTAACTGTTCACAGAGATTTCTGAAATTTATTATAGAAATGGAATATTATCAGTTCAGCAGCCAATTCCTTGTTTTCTAAGTATGTGATTGATGCAAAGTATGCAGAATATTGCTTAGATTTGCTTAAAGAAAAATAAATATTCTCGAAATACGTGCAAAAATATTAATAAAGTAAGGAAGTTTGTAGAGAAGCACTGAGAACTGGAAAAGTTAGTGTATGATACAGAAGATGGCAGCCATCTAATTGAAAGGTGAGCCCTAGAATAATTTGTGACAAATTCATAGAACAGGAAGCAAATAGCGTTGAATTTGCGTACACTTCAATAACAAAACTGGAAAATGGTTTCTAGTTATTTTTAAAACATTGTTGGTTCGTTTATTCTCAGAGAGCCTATTAGCTTGAAGCAAATGTTGTTGTGCTAACTGAAAGTTCTGCAAGTCTATGAATATCACCCTTGAGTTGTTTTAATAAATAGCCACTTGTACAGACTTTTACAACTGAAAAAAATGTGTATTACAGTATCAGAATATACTTCCCATATATTGGTCAGAAATTGCTTCCAGTCACGCTGTTCCTCTGTGACAGTAGTTGGCAAATATTGACTTATTAATAGTGTACTCTCATTTTAGTTCAGTACATACATATTTTCTAAGGAATGCACACTACAATCAACATGTAGCTGAATTCCAGCAAAGATTCGAAAAATTTCCTCAATGCATCCACAACTATAGCCAAACGCAATTTTATGTTGTGTATCGTGACCTTTGTTATTATTGCTTAAGTAGACTTAGTAACATAGTGTTGGTGCTTATGCTACTGTTTTCAACTTTTCAGTTTATATTTTTAGGAAAATATGTGTTCATTACCTTCAAAATAGAAAGACCTTAATATACATTCTGTGTATACCTAACCGAAAAAATGGGAAAAGATCTTAGTGTAAGTTCTCAAAGAAAAAATACCCCACAGCTATCTCTACATATGTGATGTTGGTTGTAAAAAAGGACTGACTCTTGGCCTCTTCTCTTCCTGCAGACTGGTGTTTGCGAAACTAAAGCTCTTAATGATAGCCATAGAATACAAGTCGGAAAAACGAGAAAGCAGGTATGTCCAATGCCTACAAATTTTGAAGTTCTGGAATGCACTGTCAAGAATTTTGCCTGCTTTTTTTTTCAGAATGAACATAGCTATTCTTATATTTTTGAAACATTTCAGAGTATAATTAGCATGCCATCACGTTACACCATTTCACGTATCACTGAAAGGCTTTCATTTCTGCCCTGTTCTTTTTCCCTAAAACTAATTTAAGTCAGAACATTTAGTAGGTGAGGGGACAGTGACACATATGTCCCATCTCCAGAAGTGCAATTCATTTTTACTTAAACAAAAACTTACAGAGTTTTTGCTCATAGTCTGTCAGTTTTAATTGGAGGTCCAACTTACTTCACTGAAAATGGACAAATGGAAAACAGATGTGATATCAAAACTCATTATGGCTATGTGTATTCTCAAAATAATAATTTCATTTAAATATGTTTGGAAGAACCAGTTTAGATAGGATACAGAATAAACAGAAATATAGGATAAACATAGTCTTTATATGGTATCTGTTCTGACAAAACTTGCATATATGAGTATCATGAAACTGGAAAAGATTAATTTAGCCTTGAAATTACCGACTGACTCCTTTCCTCAGCCAAAAAGAAAAAAATTCATTTTTATTAGTACAGATTCACAGACAGGAAAAGTAGTGTTTCTTGGCGGGTTTTTTGTATGAAAATTCATAAAAATCCGAGGGAACTTTGGAGTCAATCTGCTATCAACTTGTCCATCAGTGCTTTATGTAACATTCGTTTTTGTATAACAAAAATGTAGAAATGTACTCTGCAACACGTGGAGGGGCATATAATACAAATATGACAATACTGACTCTGAGCTGAATTTTATTTTCCTCTGTCAAAAATTATATTCTGTACTACTGTAGTTAATCTGGAACAATACATATTAGTTCATCTTCTTTTTGGCCACTAATTACCTAAAACTTTCGAGGGCAATTGTTTCTCCTCACAGGAGAACCAATTCTGTCATTTGAGCTCATGCCACAATTTCTGAGGTTTTGAAAGTTTATTTTAATGTTTATTATTATATGTTGTCATGGGGCATTTGACATGGAAAATGCAATGTTACAACTGTTTATAAGAGTATTTCCATGCGCTACAGTTGGTTTTGCTTGATTCTTTCCTATGTTATAAAGTGATATGTGAAGTGGTGTATGTGCTATTGGATATTATTTTTGTCCACACTATGCTGATTAAGAAATCCTTTTTTTTTTTTTTTTTTTTTTTTAAATAATCGGATTTTTTTTTAATGCTTCCAGCTGCCAGGGGCTCTTAAAATACTCTTCCATTGAATGATCTCATTCTGCATTAGCTAATGTAAAGCAAATGATTTATTATTCTTTTGTCTCTGAGCAGTTCAATCTCTTCCTAGAAAAAAGAAAAATACCATAGTAACAGCAGTGGAACTATTTACCAGATTTTGTATTTCCAATATTAGAAAATACTTGGTTTCTGTTGCCTCTCCTAAGAATTATTGCCCAACTTTAGATTGTCATTACTTCAGTTGTCATTTACTTACACAGGTGCTAATATTACAGTCTCTTTCAGTAATAACAGATAATTCATGGCTTCCATATCATTCTTTGCACTAACTTCAGTGGGAGTTGGATTGAGTTCTGAATCACAAGGTGATGCAGAGGATCCCACAAAAAGTAACACAATGTGATACAATCATATATTCCTTCTTACTTAAAGCCACACAGGTAACAGTTCACAATTAATTAATTTGGTAGAAAAAAAAGAGCCTAAAAATTGCAGGAAACAGTACTAACAAAAGGATGTTAACAGCTGGATTTTGTGAATACATATGTAACAAGAGGAGAGCACGTAAGCTAGACGTTCACATTTTCTTATAACCCCCATCCACAGTAATATGTGCTGACTTTATTAACCAGTGATAATTTTATAGCCACTGTTTGGTGAATCACAGAGCTACCCGCAGCATATCTTTACTGTTCTGCTTGTTCCTGCGCTCTTCAACCCAAATATGTTAAGTACGTATTTGTGGTTTTCTGAGCTGGAGCCTTTTAGTCTAACCAGAAAGGTAACGGAACAAAACTTCAGTTTCTCACTTCTTAGGTGTACTTGCATTTCCTTGCATCTTATTAAATGAAAAGATGGGGAATTAAGAAAAAAACTAGAATAACATGGTTTACCAGTGCAAGCTGTCTTTGAACAGGATAAATTTGTCATTTGTCAATTATGTTTGTTGATGTTGACTTTGGAAATATTTTATTCTACTTCATATCTTAAGTTCTTCATCGGTAATTCTTCATGAAGATGAAGGGGGAACTGATTATGGTACCCTTTTAGCTTTCACTCCTTATGAGAGTGACCAACAGTAGATATGTGCCGATTTATTTTAGGATTATAGTTTAGATTCATATTTTGTAAAACTATCGAGAGGTTTTACACAGTTTACAATTTAGAGCAACAATGATAAATATAAACAAAAAATTTAGAATGTTATCTAGGTGGCACTCTTTTATTAAGAGCTAGTATTTCCTGCCATAGCTGAGGTAGGTCTAGGACCAGTATTTTCAGGAGCAGAGAAAATTTTCAAAGCGTTCTGTCTGCCTAAGGGATGAGAAGATCTTACTCCCACCAGTTTAATTTTTGTTACTAGTCATAATAGAATATCTATATAAGTAAATTATATATCTGATTTTTTACTTACACAGGGAGTTTCCTTTTAAGATTAGTTTCTTCTGCCTTCATCACTTTGCACTCAGAGCTAAAGCAACGCAAAGTGAATTCAGAAGTGTGTGCAGGTCTCAAAAGTGATAATGTGAGGGCATTCTAGATTTCCTTATCCCCTCTCTAAATTTTCACCTTGGTGTTAAGGATAAATCCTAGTACCATTTTAAGTCAATGGCAGAATTTTCATTGACTTTGTTAATGTCTTCATTACATGTAGAATGGCATAAATACTCACTTATCTATGCACTTTTTTTCCCAGGCAGTCTCCTAGATGCTGGTTTTCTAAAGCTTTCTGATTTACAGCCAAATTCTGTTAACTCTACCGTAGGGAATTTGAGATCAATAGTAATTATAAATCACCAGAACTCTATCTAAGCTAATATTAATGTACAAGTTAGCAGTTGCTGAGCTTCCTGCTTGCAGTTGGGCTTTTTCTCCTTTTTTCCTGACTCCTAATAAAGCTACACAAAACACTAAGCACACCTTGATAACAAGTTTTCACAGTATGAGATTGTTAATTCTAAACAATTTATGACTTTACAAGATTGATTAAAAGCAGAATTTAAAAGTTTTCAAGCCTAAATATAGGTAATATAATTATGAGAAATACAAACTCGTTTTCAAATAATGGATAAAGCATCTATAGTATGTTCATCTTTTTAGGCAACTGTTTCTCATCAAGGTATCTTAAAGATTAATTAAAATATCCATGATTAGATTTTTTTTTTACCTTTACATTTATATATTTAATAATGTTTAAATTACGGCTCAGTTATCAAATAAACCTCAGTTTACAAAACGTGACTGAATTTAGTGGGTTTCTGAACAGCTACTAAGGTCTGCACTTCAGTAGTTCCGGGTCACAATATGAGTTAGCCATTCCTTCATCTCTAATTAGTATCTGCCAATATTATAATAAGTTATTAAGAGCAGGAAGCACTTAAATTTAAGTTTTTGTGTTCCTGATGCAAGTCAAATACTTTACCTTAAAAAATGGTCTTTCTTAGTTCATGTGTAGAGAGGTTTTGTTTCTTCTGTAGAAAAAATGCTAAAGGAACATGGAGAACATCAACCTGAAAATGTCACAGTGGAGCTTGCTGGGAATAGAGAGAAAAAAACATCAGTTCAAAATGCAGACATTCAAATGCCTCATCTGAAATCCCTTTTAGAGAGATTTTTGCATTCCTTTTTGCCCTTATTTTTTTTCTTTTTTCCACGTGAGTAAGCAAGAAGGAAAGCGTAACCAGGATTCTTCCCTCCTGCACCCTGTGTTTACTCCTCTTGTTAAATTTTCTCTTTGTCTATCCATATATTTGTTCTCATTCTCAGCAGAAAAACCTTTGAGCCTTGAAGACTTTTAAATAAAGGGTTTTTTTGCTTTTGCTTTGGTGCCAGTTGATTTCTTATCAAAGTGTTTGATTTGCAATTTTTTTCTTGTCGTTTGCAGAAGCCGAAAGCGGTATGCCCTCTTCGTTACCTTTCCTTCCAACCTCAATCCTACCTCCACTCCTTCTAACTTCAGGACTAATTCCTTGCCAAGAACACAGGAAGATAACATCTTTGTCTATCTTTCTCTGTATATACACACACATATATACATATATATATATTCATCTGTCTATGTGTATATATATATATCTGTGTGTATATTTATATATGAGTCCCCAATCTCAAAGAGGAGAGAGAATAGCATTTTGTCTCTCCATTGGTTCTTGTGACTCACGCACTAACTTCTTTGCAGGAAGTACAAAATAAAACAGTATAAGTTTTTTAGGCTTTTTTTTTCCCCTTGTGGAGTCATTGGTGTATCAGATTGTTGCATTTGAAAAGCAGACTTTACTGTTAACATCTCCCCTCCTCTTTTTTCATTTGTACTGTATCGTGACGATGTATATTTCGTCTTTACCAGCCCTTGTGCTGCCATATTTTCTCCATATTCACACCTTCATTGATGTCCTTCTTTCCCCAGAGTCTTCCTTCAAAAACACGTCTTACAATACAGTAGTTCATGTTCTCTTGTAGTCTCACCTTCCATTAACAACAACCAAATACCTGATTCTTTGCATTGCTGGTCCTGTTTTGAGCCTAGTTATTCATACTACAGTACTCATTAAAGCTATTGTACTGTTCCAGTGAAAGTGCCATGGATAGTTTGTACTATATGTCACATTCATTTTAATGACATTTATTAAGCTCATTTATGAAGATGTTACCGAATGTATTTGTTTCTCAGTTTTGGTTTTTCTTTGGGATGGCATGTTTTGCATTTTCTTTTGGTATACCATG